TTTTGTCTAAAAAGAAAGGACACCTCTTTTAGTCTTGGATCATACTTAAAAATAAAATGCCCTATCAACTTCTATACTGATATTAAACTTATGTAATTCTTCAGATACACTGAGATACTTTTAGCCTGGCTGGCATGGTTCAGTGATTGAGTGTCAACCAATGAACCAGGAGGTCACGGTTCAATTCTGGGTCAGGGCATGTCCAGGTTGTGGGCTTGATCCCCAGTGTGGGGAGTGTAGGAGACACCTGACCAGTGATTTTTTTCTCCTTTTTCCTTCTCTGAAATCAGTAAAAATTTTTAAAAATGTGAACCATTCTGAAAAAAAAAAAAAGAAATCTAGCAGCATTTTCATATATGTATATATATGTATATACATATACATATATATGTACACACACACGTATATATAATATTTAATATTTAATATTTAGGGGGGAAATGTCATCAGCACATTTCTCTGCAAACAGACCTGCCCATAGCAACCATAACCAAAGGAGTAGCTTTGTTTCTTTTTTTTTCTCTTAAGTTGCTAGTACACAAACTAAATGAGTATAGCCAGTGGCTCAAGGGAGTGTTGGTAGCAACCTGCTGGCCAGATTCCAATACTGTTATTAACCAAGCCAAGCAACCCAATGCTAGCTCTACCCATTTCCATAATTCCCAAATAGCAAAGAACTTGGTATGAGCCGCTTATAAACACAAAGCCATAAATAAACTTGTCTACATCAATTATGATTAAGGAGATTGAGTGAAGAGTTAATGTTAAAATTATTTGAATTGATATCAAGTGAGAAATACAATCCAAAGTAAGGAATGTGACCCAACTTACAGGAGAGTACATTTCCGTTTATCCAAGCTCTTATTTCTTCCCCATCCCTCCTAGCCCCACTTAGATGAAGAGTTCTGATGATCACATTTTAATCCCTGATGCCAACTCTACATTGGATTTTTCAGTGACATGAATCAATAAATCCTTTGTATGTGGGAGAGGGTTAGTAATTAAGCTCAGACTGGCTTTCCCTGATAATTCAGAGCTCTATCATGATTACTACAATAAAATAAGTATGCAATCTATCTATTTAAAATTACTAAAAATTTAAAGATTTGTTTTATGTGAATAAAAAGATCAGTTATCATTATAAAATATAAGCATAATGCAAACATGTTATCTCCTTTACTCTAGAACAGTGGTTGGCAAACTCATTAGTCAACAGAGCCAAATTGAACAACGATTGAAATTTCTTTTGAGAGCCAATTTTTTAAAACTTAAACTTCTAATGCCAGTTCTTCAAAATAGACTCACCCAGGCCATGGTATTTTGTGGAAGAGCCACACTTAAGAGGCCAAAGAGCCGCACATGGCTCTCTAGCTGCAGTTTGCTGACCACGGCTCTAGAAAATCTAGCAATTCACACCAGTTATTTTACTCAAAGATTTAACATTTCCTTTTAAAACATCCATCCAGCCGAAATGGGTTTGGCTCAGTGGATAGAATGTCGGCCTGCGGACTGAAGGGTCCCAGGTTCGATTCCGGTCGGGGACATGTACATTGGTTGCGGGCACAGGAGGCAGCTAGTCTATGTTTCTCTCTTATCAATGTTTCTGGCTCTCTATCTCTCCCCCTTCCTCTCTGTAAAAAAATCAATAAAATATATTTTAATTAAAACATCCATCCAAAAATATATACAAAATACTAACCAAAGGTAAAAAAAAACATGTCACATAAATTAATTGGAACAATGAAGTCCTCAACTTGTTTCCTTAGAAACATAATCTGTGATGAAAGAAGACTTGGCTTGGGGTGATGCACACACAATTCAATATACAGATGATGTATTATAGAATTATACACCTGAAACCTATGTGGTTGTATTAACCAGTATCACTCCAATAAATTCAATAAAAAATAAAAACATCTTACCTGAAATACTTGTAAAGGCTCATCAACTGCTGATGTTGATGTTAGTGCCATAAGTAAATACCACATATATGTTTTGAAAACATATTTGTCTTGCACATCTTGATATTGAGGTATAAAGCCATGTTTTGCCAACTTTTTTTTTTTTTTATTAATCTAACAAATAATTTCTCCGACAATAGTAGCTGTGGTAAAAACCCCAATAACATTAGCAAACCTGCTGTCATGTTCTATGGTCTTCTAATTAATAAGTACATAGACATTTATAAACTATAGAGCCACACAAATTTGCAATTAAAATTCTGAAATGTTAGGAATAAAACAATATGAGAAATAGCTTCATTTAAACTTTCCTTTTTCCCTTAAATTAGTCTTTTCATAGTCATTCTTTCCATTTTCACTAAAACTCCATTAAGTCCTATATTTAAATATGGCCAAAGAAAAACAATATTGAGATGAATTATCAACAAAATAGCTGAGTTTTATCAGAGTGTAAGCGACCTAAAGTTATTCTCTAAAAGACAATTTATTCACCAAGGGCAAACATGGAAAAATTTAATCAAATCTTCAGTTTCTTCACGATTGACTTGACCTTCCAAAGCTCCAAGTTGAAAGGTCTAAATACCAAAAGGTTAACTGTCATTAGTGGAATGTCCATCAGCTGAAGAAAGACCCTGGACACACTCAGCAGCGTGTTCAGCTTACAAAAGATAGGAGGTTTGAGCTGGTACAAATCAAGTTAACAAGGTTTTAGCCCTAGTTGAAGATAGCAACATGTTATTACACCCGAAAAATAAAAATCTGTAAATCCCCAGGTTAAATTGTACGAAATTAGGTTAACAGTCTGCAGTCTTAATGAAAAGGATAAGCCATTTTAATCAATTTTCTGCAGGCTAACTTCCTGTCACTATGTTCCACCTGGAGGCTGTCACATCATGATCATTACCAGACATACATTCAGCAAATATTCAATGACAAAATATACAGTTGTGCTAAGTGTTTGTTTGGGGGACCCAATGTTGAATCATCTCCAAACTTTTCCATAAATCCCTTTACTTCCACTAGCACTTTTATTCCTATATAGTGGTTGCAGTATGTTATGACTGTTGCTGTATGATCTTTTTCCTACAGCATGATCCTACTTTTGCTAAATTACTCTTAGAATCTCTTTAAACTCTGAAAAGATATTAAACTCACTGAATAAAAAAATTTTCAATTTTGTCCCTCAAATAAAATTCTGGTATGTTAGGCAAGTTAAATTAGACAAGTGACCTCCATTCATCTAATATTAATGTTGTAAAGAAGTTCAACTAAACTTTCTTTAGATGAGTTTCAATTACCCTGAAAAATGGTAAGTGATCTATTATTTGTTGTAAATCTAAATCCCTAATGAAATTATTTGTAAATCAAAAACAAAAATTTAAACAGACGACGGTTAAATATAATGTTAACAGGTACGCTGGGCAATAAATTCAAAGTTTTTATTTAACTTATATCTGCTTACTTTTTATTGAGTTTACTATAAAGGCCCAGTTAATCAATTCATTAGATTGGTCAAGACAAGACACTTGAACTATAACAGGATTTTAAAAGCAGTTGGTCTTTTAGTCATTTCTCTGGTATTCACACGCATGTGTGCACATACACACACACACAAACTATTAGAGAACTTTGCATATACAATCTCCCCCCCATAATTTTGTATAATGTACTGTTCAAAATCTGCAGTATTTTGAAACCTATATAAATAGGATATGACCAAATTAGAGATGTCTGATATACTCTTATAAAGTGAGAACTTCAGCTTATTTCCAAAAAGATCAATTCTAAACAATATAAAAGGAAAATACATATAAAATCACAACAGATTTAACAGACATCCTTGAAAAAAAAAATTAAATTTTAACTCATTTTGCAATTTTTTCAAATATGACTAAGGAAGAATGGTACAAGTAGTAATGCTGACATTTTTAGAAAACTATTAACTCAGTGGATTGGGGAGAAAAATTACTATACAGTATTATTGCACTCCACGAATGTGCAGAATTCCAAAATGCGCCAGCACTAAAAACTGTCTTGCATTGAGGTTTTCCAAGAGGTACAACGAGCCTGCTAAGAAACATCTGGTCTGTACTAACAGTTTTCTGTCTTCAGTACAGGCCTTCATAATGTCAGTCACGCTGCTCTTGCAAAAATCCTGAAATGTCTGAAAGGCATATAAGAAAAATAATATTTTATTTCAAACTTCACTTGTAAAATTAACTTCTTGATCAGAAAAGAACTGAGAACATCTCTGCTAAGCAAAAGTTAATACCTCTCCACGTTCACACATATTTGCTTATAAATTCTCTATCTTGAGCATGGTAAAAGAATTTTTATATTCTTAGGAACTAATTACTTGAAGGTAAGGAGAGAATCTATATATATAAAAGCCTAAGCGACCACTGCGACCATTACGACTAAACAACCAGAACAACCGGTGGACCATTTGCTATGATGTGCATTGACCACCAGGGGGCAGGTGTTCAATGCAAGAGTTGCCCCCTGGTGGTCAGTGCATTCCCACAGCCAACCTCCCATGGCCAGCCAACCTCCCCTGGTCCCTCCCCTGGGTCAGCAAACCTCCTGTGGTTCCTCCCTCCCCCCAGTCCAGCAGCCAGCAGGCCCCAGCTGGCCTGTCCCCGATGGGGACCAGGCAAGACAGCCCTGAAAGACCCTAATTGCCAGCCAGGCCTACAGACCCCATCTGTGCATGCATTTCGTGTACCAGGCCTCTAGTATAAATATAAACAAATAGTATAATATATCAATTCTGGCCATTAGAAGGTAATAGTCAAAAATAATAATATCATAAGACCAATTATTAAGCCTTGAAGATAACTTAATACAATCTTATTTGATCTCTTCTAAATTTTAATAAAAAAAAAAATCCATCTGTTAAATCCCAAGATGGAAACCTAAATGATAATATATGTAATATTTAGTATCTTGCTGATTCCTGATGCAAATAAATTAATACATATACACAGTTCTTATATTTTTAAGTACTTACAAAAGAGTTTTCAGTGCTGATAGGTGGGGTTATGATCGATGATGTGGGATTGAATCCATATGGACATTGAGCTTCATTTCATTGTCAAGAATTTGAACAAGCTGTTGCATGGATGGAAGGTGACCAGATTCCAGCTTAGACCATACAGGTACATCTATAAAAATAAATTGTACCAGCCTTCAAAATTAAACATGATTCTTTAATAAACATTCATTCTACAAATATTTACTGTCTATGTACACAACTAAGAATAAAAATGTGAGCAAAAGAAATTAGGCTTCTTACTCTTAAGGAATTTATATTCTAGTAGGAGAATTGAAAAAAAAAAAAAAAACATACAAAGAGCTACAAAATCACAATTGTGTACTAAGAATTAAAACTAGATGCTATGAGAGGGAGACCTGAGAGGCTGGGAAGGAGCCATTGCACTTACTTTGTTTGATTAATCCTCACCTGAGGATATTTTTTCATTGATTTTTAGGGAGAGTGGAAGAGAGAGGAAGAGAGAAACAACGATATGAAAAAACCACATCGATTGGTTGCCTCCTGCATGAGCTACAACCTGGGCCTGGGCCAGGGAGGAAATGGCACCAAGATACATGCCCTTGACTGGAATCAAACCCAGGACCCTTTAGTTTGGATAGGCTGACATTCTATCCACTGAGCCAACCTGGCTACGGAGCACCTATTATTATTATTATTATTTTAAATATATTTTATTGATTTTCCACAGAGAGGAAAGGAGAGGGGTAGAAAGCTAGAAACATCGATGAGAGAGAAACATCGACCAGCTGCCTCCTGCACACTCCTCACTAGGGATTGCCCACAACCAACGTACATGCCCTTGATAGGAATCGAACCCGGGACCTTTCAGTCCGCAGACCGACGCTCTATCCACTGAGCCAAACCGGTTTTGGCAGCACCTACTATTATTAAAAGGAGAGATTATAATTAAAAATGAGAGCTGAGCCCTGGCCAGTTGTATCCAGTGGCTAGAGCATCAGCCTGAGGAACAAAGTGTCATGGGTTCAATTCAGGTCAAGGATGTGTATCTCAGTTGTCTGGCCCCATGGAAGAACATATGGGAGGCAGCCAATTGATGTGTGTCTCCCACATCAATGTTTCTCTCTCTCCCATTCCTCCCTCCCTTCCACTCTCCCTGGAAATCAATGGAAAAAAATATCCTCAGGTGAGGATGAAAAATAAAAAAAGTGACAGGTGAAATATAGAAGTGGTATAAGGGAGGATGGAGAGGTAGGCAGGAACTAAGTCAGAGGTCAACAAACTGCAAAAGGACAGATAGTAAGCATTTTAAGCTCAAAAAGGTGTACAGTCTGTCACAGCTACTCAACTCTCTGGTGGCCTGAAGGCATATATATATGAATAGGCATGGCTGTGTTCCAATAAGACTTTGTTTACAAAACATGCAGCATAAGATATGGTCCACAAAGTCTTGGTTTGCTGATCCCTAGGCTACATCATACAGGGCCTTTTTGCCATCCATATTCTGGTCTTTATCTTGAGAACAAAGTAAAGACAGATAATGAATTGAGGCAGTGAAACAAGAAGATGAAATAAGCATTTTTTAAAAATCACTCTATTTGGAGCAGGTATCAGCCAATTTTTCTATAAGAAGCCAGAAAGTAAATATTTCCAGCTTTATGGATCAAGATGCAAAATCAAGGATATTATATAGGTACTTTTATAACTAGAGAGATAAAATTAAATTTCTAAATGTTTTTCATTGATGAAGCTCAAAACTTTAGGAATAAACACTAATTTGAATTTCATATTTCTGTGATATTTTTAAACAATTAGAATTGGACCAGAGACTCTTGGTGCATGGGACGACAATCAATCCACTGAGTCATGCTGGCCAGGCCAGATATAATTTTAATGCCATTAAAGTAGATGAGGCCCATATAAAGAGATGATTTAGCATATTATGAAAACCAGAAAAGCCTGATGCTCACTATAAATCACCTAAAATTTATCTCAGAATGCAAACTATTCAGAACTCACCATTCAAAGTTATTTCAAATGCACCTGTTGACATACACTGGTTCTCAATCATGTTGCTCAAGAAGAAAACCATCATACATGCATAGACCTAAAAGAAAATATGATTAAGTATAATAAAACAGGCATGAAATTAAAACAGCATGGACTTAAGACAAAGTAACTTTAAGTAGTCTCATTTTTTTTTTTTTGGTACTTGCTATTTTGAATTCTATTTTAAAAGTTTCTATACAAACTATTACTGCTATCCCATATATATGTTCAATAACATACACAGAAAAAGAAAAATTCAATATTAATTCACAGCTCCACACATGCTAAAGAACTTATATATGACCAGTGGCCTGGTGCATGAAATTCATGAACATTAAAAGGGAAGAGCCGAAACCGGTTTGGCTCAGTGGATAGAGCGTTGGTCTGCGGACTGAAGGGTCCCAGGTTCGATTCTGGTCAGGGGCATGTACATTGGTTGCGGGCACATCCCTGGCAGGGGGTGTTTCTCTCTCATCAACATTTCTAGCTCTCTATCCCTTCCTTCCTCTCTGTGGAAAATCAATAAAAATATATTTTAAAAAAAGGGAGGGGGGAAGAGACCTAGACCCAGCTAGCCCACCCCCGTCAAGCCCCACCAGCGGGGGACAGTGTCATGTTCCTGCCCACCTGTGTGCACTTCACCGTACATACAGCCCTGCCCACTCATACCTGCTGCACACACAGCCTCTTGCTGATGGGTTGTTAAGGCGTGAGGGTATCATTACTATTAGTATATTAGCTCTTTATTATATAGGATATTCATAATGTAGAGGCAGAATTTCTAGAGGTCTCTTAATAGTAAAGTTTAACAAAAGAATACCAGTGTAAGCAGGGTTCATTTGACCATTTTTATAATATAATGAGTGAATTCACAAGAGACTACTGATGCAACAATCAGCAACTCCATGTTTTCTTTTCTTTTTTTTTTTTAATATATATTTTATTGATTTTTTACAGAGAGGAAGGGAGAGAGCTAGAGAGCTAGAAACGTCGATGAGAGAGAAACATCGACCAGCTGCCTCTTGCACACCCCCTACTGGGGATGTGCCCGCAACCAACGTACATGCCCCTTGACAGGAATCGAACCTGGGACCTTTCAGTCCGCAGACCAACGCTCTACCACTGAGCCAAACCGGTTTCGACAACTCCATGTTTTCAATACAACCTGCCCATGTTCCAAACAAATCGTTTTAAGTCAAACTGTGAAATATGTATTTGGTCTTCCTCTCAAGTTATAGCACAAAGAATCTAAAAACCCTTGAAATTTTCAGTGATGGGAATGGGAAAGGTGTCTTTTCTTATGTTAATGAAGTGATTTTTGAACAGTATCTAAGGATGGAACTGATTGCCAGGAAAGAGTAAAGCCAGCCAGGTGATTAGAGCATTAGACATTTCCATTTCAGGGAAAAGAAGAGGGACAGGAGGCCAAATTAGTTGCCAATTGCCAATGATTTAATTAATCATGCTTATGTAATGAAGTATCCACAAAAACCCAAAAGGACCTGGATTGAAGTTTCCAGGTTGGTGAACCTTTATGTAAATACCAGAGGGCACTGGCCTGTGCCCTCTTGCAGTATGGGAGCCCTTGGAGGGAGCGGGCCTACGCCATCAGTCAGATATCCCTAGTGCTGCCATGGAGGCAGGAGAGGCTCCTGCCACCACCACTGTGCTCACCAGCTGAGCCCCGTTCAGGGCTTCTGGTGGAGTAGCACTCCCCCTGTGGGAGCACACTAACCACCAGCGGGCAGCTCCTGCATTGAGCATCTGCCCCCTGGTGGTCAGTGCACATTATAGTGAGCAGTTGAGTGACTCTAGCATATCATAATCATATTATGCTTTGATTGGTTGAACAGCCAACTGGATAACCAAACACTTACCATATTAGGCTTTTATTATATAGGATGCACAAGGAAAAAGGAAAAAGATGAAAGAAGAATGGTACGCCTGGAGAGTGCATGGATGCTCCCTTCCCATATATGCATTTCTTCCACTCTGGTTGTTTCTGAGGTATCTTTTTACAATAAGCTAGTAATCTAGTAAGTAAAATGTGTCTCTTGAGCTCTGTGAGCCACTCAAGCAAATTAAACAAACCCACGGAAGTGGCTGTGGGACCTCCACTCTGTAGCCAGTTGATCAGAAACACAGGTATAAACCTGGGCTTGCAACTAGTATCTGAATACCATAGTGTGTATGTGTATATGGGGGAGAGGGGGGCAGAGGAGATGTGTCTTGTTGGACTGAATTTTTAACATGAAATCTGATGTTATCTCCAGGTGTAAGAATTGAGTTGAATTCTCAGACACCCTACTGATGTTGGATAATTATTGTGATGGAAGCACACACGTACATACGTACACACAAACACACATACACGTTTAAATTGGGTCCATGAACCCAAGAGACAAGCTAAGAAAAAAGTAGATAAGATAGCACAGGCATATATAAATATATATATATAATCCTAAGTGATCGCTACAACTGAATTACTGAACGACCGGCCGACTGGTTGCTATAACATGCACTGACCACCAGGGGTAAGACGCTCAACACAGGAGTTGCCCCCCGGTGGTCAGTGTACTCGCATAGCCAACCTCCCATGGCCACTCCCCAATGCTGGCCAACTTCCTGCAATCCCTCCTCACACCCAATAGGCCCCTATTGGGACTGGGCAAGACTCCCCAATCTCCAGCCAGGCTGAGGGACCCCACCCAAGCACAAATTCGTGCACCAGGCCTCTAATATTAAATAACGTTCATTTGCCTTGGAATGTAAATCTTTACCCTTCCAAAAGATACAAGAAGCTCCCTGATGGACAGAGAAGTTTTAATTTAATGAAATCACCTGATTAAAAGAAAGATGAATAGGATGTCAATTCACGGAAAGGTGTTTCAGAATAATAATTCAAAATGTCCATAGCAGATGAGAAAGCGTTTTCCTTGCCCTCCTTCCCCTTGAGCTAGGTGGGTTTTGATTTCATAAACATTACCCGAGCATTTAGAAATAGAAGTCCAGGGGAAACACACACACACAAGGAAGTGTCATGTAAGCTATAGTTGTCAAGTACATTCATCTTCCACAGTAGATATCCATAGAAGTAAAATGCACTGAAGATATTTTAAAATCAACAGAATAAATGTAACAAAATATTATCAATAAGTACTTAACTTCTAATTCTTAATCGTACGAGAAGCAATGTTTTGTTAGTAATAAGGCAGAGGTAGCACCTGAGGTTCCCTAAGGAAAAAAATGTACAGCAGGAGTCAGCTAAAGATAGACTCAGTCTAGAAATAAAGAACAAAACCACATCTGACTCCAAAGGATAATGCTTCTTAGAAGGAAACTTGTGTAATCTCATCAAGAGAGAAATAAAACTTAGTCCCATTTCTTACAGCAGAAAGGAGGACCCTCCAGAAAATAAAAGTTTAAATCAAACGGAAAGAGATTTAGAGAGAATTTCTGTATGCTGTGGCAGGACCCCACAAAGAAAAAAAGAAATAGCACAAAGTCTTATGCGTATATTGATTGTTTCAGGTAATTTGCTAAACAGATTCCCTATTAATAGAAGACTCAAAGGACAAATAATAACAGAGTATGTGTGTATGTTTTGATAAGAACAATTTAATAAAATCCCCTTTTCACATGATTAAAATCATATCAGTAGGTATAAAAGGCATGCATTATATATATACTAGAAGCCCAGTGCATGAATTCATGCACCAATGGGGTCCCTCGGCCTGGCCTGTGGGATTGGGCCAAAACTGGCTCTCCAGCATACCCTGAGGAGTCTCAGATTCCAAGAGGGTGCAGGCCAGGCCAAGGGACCCCACTGATGCACAATCAGGGTTGGGAAGAGACATAGGAGGTTGGCCAGCTGGGAAAGGACCATGGGAGTGCTCCAAGGCATGTCTGGCCAATCTCGCTCAGTCCCGATCAACTGGACCCCAGCACCATGTTAACCTACCGGTCGCAGCATCTACCCCCTAGTGGTCAGTGCACATCATAGCAAGCGGTTGAGCAACATAAGCATATCACTAGCATATTATGCTTTGATTGGTTGAATGGCCAACCAGTTGACTGGACACTTAACATATTAGGCTTTTATTATATAGGACCAGAAGCCCAATGCACAGATTTGTGCACGGGTGGGATTCGGGCCTATCTGAGGAGGAGACAGTAAGAGATTGGATGGCTGGCCACCTCAATTAAGGCCCAATCAGGGCCAGGCTGTCTGGGGGAAGGGGCCGAGAGCTATTGGCCAACATGCCCCATCCCCAATTGGGGTGGGAAAGCCAAGGAGGGAGTCAGCGACTGGGTGAGGGGCTGTGGGAGATTGGCCAGCCAGCCTTGCCCCCAATGTGGGCGGGCCTACCTGGGGAGGGGCTGTTGGACAATCAGGGTGGGTGGGCCTACTGGGGACAGGACTTGCTGGGGCAAGGAGCTGCAGAAAGTTGGCTGGCCAGCCCCACCCCCAATGTGGGTGGGGCCTGCCTGGGGAGGGGCTGTTGGACAATCGGGGTGGGTGGGCCAATGGGGACGGGGGGATGGCAGGGGGCGGGGGGATGGCAGGGAGAGGGAGGAGCCACGGGAGGTTGGCTGGCTGGCCCCACCCCCAATTGGGCCAGTTCACTGGCCACAGTGGGCATCATAGTGATAGGTCATTCCAGTGTTCCTGTTGCTGGCTTGTTATATATATAGATTATGTATATATTATATATATATTATGTTTTGCTGGATATGATTAGCCTAATTATACAATCAAAATCAGGTTTTAAATTACTGTGTCCAGGTTCTACTGAAGTAATACTTCCCTATCCTTCAAATAATAAAAAAACTTCATCATTCTTACATAAATAAAAAAACTAAAGCCAAAAGAAGTTAAGTGCCTTGCCCAGAGACAAAAAGTGGTTTAAATTGAAAAAATATATGTAAACAGGTTAACCAGCAATAAGTACTTTTTAAAAAAAGGAAAACTCATTGAAACATATTCAGTAACAACCTAAAAACTTACAGTTGTCAAAGTTATTAAGTTACATACCTTATTTTCTTGGCCCCATTGCCAGATGCTAGGAGCTTGCATGCCAAAGAAAGCAAAAGGATCCTTGCCAACAATTATTAAGCCTATTAAAACTAGTTTGAAGATTGACAGGAAAGATGCTATGTGTCTATCAAGAGAAAAGAAAAATTCATCAGAAGCTGCAAATTCTCATTTATTTCAAAATTTCATTAACTCTAATGTATGTGTACAGATATTTTCTAGATACCAAATTTAAACTTATTAATTATAACTAATGAAAAAGATAGTGACTAGTTTATTGAATAGTTTTTAAATAAAAATGTTACATATTTTAAATCAATCAAAAATTCACTTATAAGATTACTTATATAGCACTGGCCTTTAAAAAATACTATTATTTTAACAGTATAGAATTTTATGCCACTGACTAATTATAAAAATGTGGGGGTTCATGGTCTATCTCCACAATAACAATTACAGAAAACACATCTTTTGAAGAATTGTCATCTAGAAAGTGATTCTCCTCTTCTCTTTTCCACAGAAAATTTCTTCTAAATTTGCTTTTTATGACCGTATTCTCTATGTATTGTTACAACCAACTAAGAAATGATAATAACCAAGAAAGTTAATTGAACCACTTCACAAAAGTTTATGAAGTCAAATTCTTTTCCTCCTAAGTCACTAAAATTTACTTACCTATATATTGGTTGAGGGAGGTAATTCTCTCCTTCAATGCGGATGTCTGGGTACCGCTGGCTAATAACCCGCATGTACTCCTCAAACACCCGCCTATAACCTCAGGAAACACTGCAGAAAAACAAAAGTGCTTCCTGTTAAGTGGTTTAAAATATGCCTAGATTGTTTTTGCAGTTAGACAAAGCCTAAAATTATCAAGATTAAAAGTGTTTCTCAAGAACAGTCACAAATAAATAATGATTGATGCTGGGTAATGGGTATGGAGAAGTTTTTCCCCACAAACTTCACATATTTAAGTTACCTCACCCTCAAGTAAACCCTTCCATTAATATATTAGACTTTATAGATTTGGGTTACTGTTGATCAACAGCAAATACCTACTCACACATGTCAGTGTACTTTGAGCTCTCTAATCAATTTGGCTTTTTAACAAAATCAATGACTACATAAACACTAAAATAAAAACAACTCTTATTCATCAGAAATAGGGACTTTCAAAAATGCGGACAAGAAACTTAAAAAAATACCAAGGCAGGAGACATGAAACTCTGGTTCTTATTCCTCTTTTGCCCCTAACTAGGCAAACATACTTGTTTAATCACAATAAGAGGAGCTTAAATAACTTTTAGATCCCTTCTGACTTTAAAATTTAATTCCACTTTGTGAAGGAAAACAAAGATTGGGAATATAATTTTCAACAATATGATAGTGATCCATACCATTACTCCAGAAATTAAGTCAACAGCACCCAATCAACTTCATTAAAATCTCTGCACTACTACATTATGGATATGATATTTGCTTCCCCAACAAGAAAAGGGGAAGAATGCCACCAATGCATTTGTAAGAGAGGAAAAAAGCATACTGATCAAAGCAATTGAAGACACAAAAAGATAGCTCATGTTCATGAGTCAGAAGAATTAATATGGTTAAAATGTCCACACTACTCAAAGCAATCTACAGATCCCTATCAAAATTCCAATGGCATTTTTCACAGAAATCAAACAATCCTAAAATTTTTATGAAACCACAAAAGACCCCAAATGGCCCAAATAATCTTCAAAAAGAAGAATAAAGCTGGAGGCATCATACTTCCTGATTTCAAATTATTTTACAAAGCCAGAGTAATCAAAACAGTATGATACTGGTGCGTTCTCTCTCCCTCCCAGATGCACCCTAGCACCTTGCTCTTTCCCCACTTCTTCCCTCACAGGTGTGCACCTCCTAAATTCTAAGGGTCCCCAAGAAACTTGCAACCAAGAGCAATGGACAGCAGCAGCTCCTTCCAAGCTAACTCCCTGAACCTGATCCAAGGCTGCCTTTTCTCTGATTTTTCAATGAGATGACAGTAGTCCTGCCTTGGCTCACTTCTTTTCACTGTGACTTTTATTTCTCAGTGAGCCAAAGCAGCCCCATCCAGTCTGTCTCCTCTTGCTTCTTCTGCCCTAAGCCCCCCTTCCTTGTTTCACTGTCCCCAACTTTAATAAATAAATGTACTCTCAAAATTAAAAAATTACACACACACACACACACACACACACAAACACGTGTGGCATTTGCATAAAAACACACATTCTAGCCAGTTTGGGTAGATGGATAGAGCATTGCCCACGAACTGAAGGGTCCCAGGTTCTATTCTGATCCAGGGCATGTATCTCAGTTTCAGGCTGGATCTCTGGCCCTGGTCAGGGTGCATGTGGGAGGCAACCAATAGATGTGTCTCTCTCACACCGATGTTTCTCTGTCTCTCTCCTTCTCCCTTCCTGGGTGAGGATTAACAAAACAACAAATACAGACACACAGATCAATGGGGACAGAATAGAGAGCCAACAAATATACCCATATATGGTCAATTAATTTAAAACAAATAAGCTAAGAACATTCAATGGAGAAAGGACAGTATCTTCAAATAAGGGTGTTGAGAAAACTAGACAGCCACATGCAAAGAATGAAACTGGATCACTACCTTACAACATACACAAAAATCAACTCAAAATGAACTAAAGACCTGAAATCATAAAATTCTAAAAAGAAAACATAGGAGGGAAAGCTCCTTGACAACAACACTCCTGGCAATTATTATTTGGATTTTACACCAAAGCAAAGGCATCAAAAGCAAAAATAAACAAGTGGGACTACATCAAACTAAAAAGCTTCTGCACAGCAAAGGAATCCATCAACAAAATAAAACGGCAACCTACAGGAGAAAATATTTTCAAATTAACTGGTAAGAGGTAAATATCTAAAATATATAAGGATCGTACAACTCAATAACCAAAAAGTTAAGAAAAAGGCCCTGGTCGGGTGGCTCAATTGGTTGGAGTGTCGTCCTGTACACCAAAAGGTTGTGGGTTTGATTCCCAATCAGGGCACATACCTAAGTTTCATGTTCAATACTGATCAGGTTCATACAGGAGGTAGCAACTAATCAATGTTTCTCTCTTACATCTAAGGTTCTTTTTCTCGTTCTCTTTCTCTATCTCTCAAATCAATAAAACATAACCTCAAACTAAGGATTTTTTTTTTTTAATGGACAAAGAACTTGAATAAACGGCCAACATACATGAAAAGGTGCTTAATATTACTAAATACGAGGGAAATGCAAATCAAAACCACAATGAGATAGCACATCACACCTGCAAGGATGTCTATCATCAATAACAAGGAGATAAGTTTGGAAAGGACATGGAGAAAAGGAAACCCTGTACACTATTAGTGGAAATGTAATCTGGTGCAGCCACTACAAAACAGTACATAGGTTCCTTAAAATACTAAAAATAGAACTACCATTTGATCAAGTCACCTCATTTCTGGGTATATATTTGAAATAAATCACTCTAAGAAATATTTGCACCCCCATGTTCACTGCACCATTATTTACAATAGCCAAGACATGGAAACAACTATGCCCAATGAATGAATGAATGAAAACATGGCACAGGCCCAGCCCATTGGCTCAGTGGTTGAATGTCAATCTAGGAACCGGAGGTCACTGTTTGATTCCTGGGCAGGGTACTTGTCCGATTGTGAGCTTGATCCCCAGGAGGGGGCACACAGAAGACAGCCAGTTGATGGTTCTCTCTCATCTCTGATGTTTCTATCTCTCTCTCCCTCTCCCTTCCTCTATGAAATAAAGAAAATATTTTTAAAAAAACATGGTACATATGATACAATGAAATATTATTCAGCCAAAGAAAAAGGAAACACTGCCATTTGGAATAACACAGATGGACCTTGACCACATTATGCTAAGTGAAATAAGTTAGAAAAATACGATTATTATAGATTCCACATATAAGTAAGATTTAAAAAATGGAACTCGCACAATCAGTGTGGCTCAGTGGTTGAGCATCAACCTATGAAGCAGTTCACAGTTTGAGTCCTTGTCAGGGCACACACCTGGATAGCCGGCTTGGTCCCCAGTCGTGTGTGTGTAAGAGGCAGCCAATCCATGAATTCCTTCTCATCCCTGATTTTTCTCTCTCTCTCCCTTTTCCTTCCTGAAATCAATAAAAATATTTCTTAAAAAAAAGATAAAAAGTTGAACTCATAGACAGAGAGTAGATTGGTGGTGGCAAGGTAGTGGGGATTGGGAAAATGGGGAGATGCTGGTGAAAGGACAAAAATTTCCAGTTTTAAAATGAATAAGTTCTGGGAATCAAATGTATAGGGTGATGACTATTATGAGCAATACTGTACTGTACACTTGAAAGTTGCTAAGAATAGATATTAAATGTTCTCACCACAATGAAGATAATTATATGAGATGAAGTGTTAACTAACCTTTTGTAGTGTTTCACAACAGATCTTGTATATGTATATCAAATCATTGCCTTCAGTACACAAAATTCCTATCTGTCAATTACACTTCAGTAAAACTGGGAAGGGGAAAGTAGATGGTACCATCATATCAATAGGAGAGCTTACAAATCCAGGTAAGATTAAGTAGTTAAATACATTAAGTTCTAAGTTAAGGAACACATAAATATAAAGCAATGAAGGTACCACTTGGTACAGAGAAAACAGGATTAGCAATTAAGTTATAGTAGAATAAAACCTCAGATGACAGTTTTTAATTACATTGTCATCAATGAAAAATGCCAACTATCACCATTAACCCCAGAAAAGGGCATCAAGTTTATATCTGACAGGGTGAGACAGTCCAACTATCCATAGATCTCAACTTAAAAAAAACTCACTTTTAAAAAAAGTGAGAAGTTCAGCCTTTCTTAACAATTAATACTTCCTCTATATTTAGAAAAATTCCATGAAAAATTATGTCACTAAAAAGTAAGAATTTTTTTCAAAGGGAGACAAATCTCCACAGCTAAGTTCTCGAAATAACTTATAAATCTCTAGATACCTTATCTTAACTATGCATTCACCTTACCTAATATTTTCTTATTACTGTTCTTAGATTCACCAAATATTTTATTTTGCCACAACTGTGTTTTCTGTATGAAATTTTAATGATGCTTCTATTATACAAATAACCTAGATTACCCAGGTACCTATCTAGCTTTAAACCAAGAAATGCCACCTGAGTTCAATGCCCAAGTTTGCACTGGTGTTTACAATGAAGTTGATTATTTAAAATAACAGTATCTAACTTTTAATGCGGTATTTTCAGAACTACAGACCTAATTGAGTTGAAACTTCTTTTTTTATAGATGAATGGAAAAACATGAAGCCCAGAGAGATCAAGTGACTTTTCCATGGTTATACATCCATGTATCATTTATTAATTCACTCAAATATTTATTGAATGCTCACTATATTTGCCTTCAGACTCATAAAGAAAAACCAAGGAACTTTTTCTCTACATAATTGTTTTCCTCAAAATAATTTTATCTTTTAAAAAATATTTTTCTATTGATTTCAGAGAGGAAGGGAGAGGGATAGATGGGAACATCAATAATGAGAATCACTGATTGGCTGCCTCCTGCACACCCATCACTGGAGTTCACCCAGGCATATTCCCTGAACTCCTGGTTCCTAGGTCAACATTCCACTACTGAGCCATGCTAGCTGGGCACAAAACAATTTTTCTGTTTTGAAATAGCAATTAAGACTG